AAATTCAATTTCATATGATATTGTGTACCTCTGATGTGAAATAGTTGCTTGTGAGCGGCGCGGCGGTCGTCCAGCGCATTGGCGCCTACAAACCTAACACGGATACTTCACGCATTGCGCCATGCGTGAAGTATCCACTTAGGTTTGTAGGCGCCAGTGAGTCCTTCCCGCCGACAGCAACACAGCATGCCGCTCCGCAGTGTGTTCGGCTCAGATATTTAAACTCGCCGAGTCAGCGTTTTTCAACTCATGAGTTTGTGTTTGCACTCTCTGTATGGATTATTTTCATTTAAATTGATGAGACGTAGCATGATTCTCTTATGCAAAAACGTTCTCCAAGAAATACGGCGAAAGAATTGGTGGTTTTCTCTCTCGAAAACGAAGGGGAAAAAATTGAAGACACGACGTCATTGAGAAGCATGTACTTTTGGGCTCGCCATCGAGAAGTCTTAACCCACAATGTGCAGTTTATACCCATATTTTATTTGAATTCTCGAGTTTTGTTTCTTTTTATGCTGGGTTTTCTGAAAAGAAATGGGCACTCCATCACCCCTGCATGTATCTTCTCCGTTCAGGGTGAACCAGAGCCGCAACGAGGGATGAAAGAGGGTCACAACCATTCCCGTCCTGTCACTTAGGAGCAAATAACCGTGAGGTTGTTTTTAAAATTGTTGTTAGTATGGATGATACTGACACAAGCCAATACCTTAGCAAAAGGAGAACCACTGGAGAAGGTGAGAACTGAAATGGACTAGGGTATGCTTCCTTATCAAAATTTTACGTGGAACGCGGTGCTTACACTTAAAATTTACAAAATCAACTTGCGATTGAGGATTTTTTGTTTTTTTTTTGTTTTTTGGGCGAGGATTGAATGAAACTCTGCTCGCTTTAAATCCGAATTCTAACATAATCTAATCGTTCCTTCGAATAAATTCACCGTACTTCACGATGAAATCATTTTCTCAGAGTGTTGGATTTCTTTTTAAGATCGAGATAAGTGCCGTGCATCCTGAGAGGCCGGAGATATTTGCGAGATAATCTCTGTTTATTGTCAAGCATGGAAGTAGGCTCTGTTTGGTTCAGTTGATCTACGGAAAGTAGTCATTTTCTATGCGGAAAGTTTGACTTTACTGATTCTAATGTAAACTGTTGAGTCAATGTTTCACTCGCCTGGACCTTCGTTGTGAACACTGTCAAAACGTGTGTTATGTTTTACGTGGAATTTGATGAAGAAACATGTTTTAAATTATTCAATTTTTACCTGGGCTATGTGTTTCATTCTACCTTCCTAAGGAATCACGCCATTCATAGTAGTCAAATTACTTCTGATCAAATAGGAATTGCCTAGAAAATTGGTGAATTTTTGCATTACAATTCTCAACGAATTTTCTCCGCAATTTAATTTGAAGATAAAAATATGTATAACTTTCCTGGGAAAAAAAATAATTTATTGGAATAAATTTGACTAGATTTAAATCCACGAATGGCGTTCCTCCCGAATGCAGCAGGAGGGTACTCTCTCTTCTCTCACTGTCCTTGTTACGACTCTGGTGCCAACAGAACTGAGAATCGTCCCCTATCACAATCTTCATGTTTCGCCCGCTAATTGTTGTTGTTTTTTGTTTCGTTTTTCTTTGGATTTATTCATCGAATTGTTTGTATTCTTTTTGTATTGACGAAAACATTCCTAGGCTGTTATTGTAAATAATCAAATTTACTGTTAGGTACAATTTCCCCGTCCTCAGCCGTCAACCTCCCCCCTAAATCCCCCCAATCATAATTAAATTCCCCTTTGTTTCTCATTTATTTTTGCAACTCCCTATCCCTCATCTCTATGATTTGTTCCGCGCTGAAACCTCGATGTAAATAGTGGCGTGGCGTGCTTTGCGATTTATAGATTGACCTGTCATTTAAACCTATGGAAAAGGATCGATAATCACAGTGTTCGCAAGGAACACCTCAATAATCGATTCTTTACCACAGTTTCAAATGGGGAAGTATCGATAATCGATCATTGGCGCCTCGCCACTGGATGTAAATGCAAATGTAAATGTACTTTAGCCCCGCCCTCTGTGAGCAGCAGTGGCGTGGCGTGCTTTGCGATAAATCGATTGCTCTGCCATTGAAACCTATGGTGAAGGATCGATAAACAGGGTGTTCGCAACGAACACCTTAATAATCGATTCTTTACCATAGCTTCAAATGGGGAAATATCGATAATCGATCATTCACGCTTCGCCACTGGTGAGCAGACTCATTTGGAAATATTGTTGAATAGTTTCATTCTGTTTCCTTTGTTTATCGTTTCGTATTACACTTTCAGAAATGAATTTTAATATGGAATAAATATAAGATTTTTTTAAATTACCCTCTTCTTTTTCTCTTCGCATTCCGTTCCCGCTCCGTTCCAAACTGAAAAAGTGCGCTTCGTTCGAAAATAATAAAAATTATAGCACTACCTAAATATATAAAATGGACCGCGTCAGCTGAAAGGAACTAAGCCTCATCAGCTATTGCCAAATTTAACTGGGCAATTTAATATTTTACATGAGAACGTTTGTGCGGATTCCCCGGGCAAAATTGAGGGATTCGCTTCGTACTATGCAGAAAATTACCCGAAATTTGCACAAAAACAAGAACAACCGTTTTCTTGTAAAAAATTAATTTACCCAATGAAATTTGGCAATGGCTAATGTGGCTTGATTCCTTTCTGCTCAACGCGATCCAAATGCAATACATTGAATCGTGGAAAAGAGATTTCAAGCGCATCCCTCCATTTTTTTTTTCATTTTGCATCAAGGTGACGGGCATAGAGGCGGATCCAGCAATTTGGCAACACCGGATTCCCTCCATTTAAACCTATGCTAAATGATGAATTCTTTTCGGAGGACCTGGCCCCTCCAAGCATCGATATATTTCCATAGGTTTAAATGGAGAAAAGACAATGTCGCCGATTTGTTGGATCCGCCAATGGACAGGCATGAGCCATCCCTTGTTTCAAAAAGCGGAGGAGCGACGTTGAAGACAATTTTAAGTATCGAGGAAAAAATAAAATCAATCAAAAGAGTGCAGAGTTTTGTTATACCACTGCTCTGATTTCGAATACCTACAGCTTTTCAGTAATCACTCCAAAATTTCAGTTAGCTGACGCATAATCAGCCGCAACAAAATTTTCGTCGATGTATACCTACATCGTTTCTGAGGTGGTCGATTACTTTTTTTGCACTTGGATGCGCATCGAAATACGATACCTAACTGCAATGGGACTTTTTAAGAAGTGTCCCGAAAGAAATTCAGAAGATTATATAGTACAAATCGAAAAATAATGTGAAATAATTGAAATGACATTTTTTAGATCGACGGAGAGACCAGATATCTTATTAGATTATTTTTTAAATGGAACACATCACAAGTCTGACGTCTGTAGTTTTTCTTTACAGCGCGAAGAAAATTCTGCGAAAACTTCAAGGAATGATACTGATTTGCTCTCCATCGAAAAAATTAAATGATAGCTGAGATTTTTTAACACCGCAAACGAGATACGTGGTCTGGCAGTTTCACCGTCGAAATTCTTCAATTGTTCACATGAGAGATATCAATTTTATTCATCGTTTTTTAGCATTTTCGGCCTCTCTCTGTTTTTTCCAAGTTCTTAACAGCGCAACACACATCATTTAATGTTAACAGTGGCATGGCGTGCTTTGCTATATATCGATTGATCTGCCATTTAAACCTACGGAAAAGGATCGATAGACAGGTTGTTCGCAATGAACACCTTAATGATCGATTCTTTACCACGGATTCAAATGGGGAAATATCGATAACCGATCATTCACGCCACGTTACTGAATGTTAATTACTCAAAAATACTCATTCTAAGCTTGAATTGGAAACAACGAGAGAGTAACATTCTCCATATCGATGGCGAAAGTGCAGAAGTGCGTATCTTGATTTTTGACACTTTTGAGTTGGCTGCATAAACGTGTTGTCGAAAATGTCATCCATCTGCCAGCGAGAGATTATAATTGAAAACATCGGGAAGTCACCTAAAACCGTAGATCATTTTTCGCGTATCTCGAGCTAAAGTGAAGAAATGCGTATCTCGTTTTGGCCCCTTCATTAAATTTGATCCGGCGCGCCCTACACACAACGCGCACTCCTCAGCGTTTTCCGCCAACAACATTTACACCGAAAAAAAGAGGTGCTGTAGTAACATCCTGGATGTTGAAAAATGTGCGACAACTCTTAGATGTTGTCATTACCACTCTGGCTGTTAACGTAACATCCTAGGATGTTACTTTTACATCCTATCATGCTACGTTAACTGCCAGAGAATGGATAAAAATGTCAAAGGTGTAAATAACGGGTAAGATAAAGAGTAAAATATACTTTGGAAGTTAAAACAAAACTTTAAAAGTCGTTAACAATCTTAGAGTCCCTAATGTATTTAACACTGACATTAAAGGTTGATTTGTGTACATTATACATGGGTTCAGACATCCTGGTTTAGATAGCCCCAAAAATTGGGTTTTCTGAAAATCTGACTTTTTTAGGAAAACAATTCTTCAGCCCACGGAAATGCTGTTGCCTCAATTCTGGAAGTAAACAATTGTAGCTGAGGTTATTCTCTACTAAAAAAAATAACAATACATTTGGTATGATTTTATTGGTTGTTGCTGGCTTAGAAAAAAAGTGGCCCACTTAGCCCCTAATTGAACGAAAAGAAAATAAAAAAAAGTTTCGATTACAAATCATTTCAATGATTTAGAGGGATTCAATTAATACATGTTAATATTTTTTTTACATTTTTGAACACCTCAAGTTAATAATATTGTTGAAATGAAAATAAAAATAATCTCATCTTCATATATTTCGGGCGCAGAGAAAAGAGAGAAAACGCAAAGATTTAGAACGTAGCACGCTATGCCAGAGCTGATAAAATCTGTATCTATTCTAGAAACTTTTACAAGTAAAGATAACCCCTACTTTCAACAAACATACTAGTTGGAATCGGGTGAGATAGCGCCCAGACTCAAAGAGCGACCTATATACACGAAGCTAAAAATAGAAAAGATAAGTAGAAGAATAAGATATAGAGAGCGATTTTAATATTGCATTAATAAACATTGTTTTGCAAAAATCAGTTCTATTTTTGCTTTTCTTAAATCAAACATACATTCAAAATTAAATAATATACAAGATAAACAAGTGATTGATTGATTGATGTAAATGAGCGAACGTATACGAACAAACGAATGAACGATTGATTGATTGATCAAACGAACGAACGAACGAATTAATTAAGAAGATGTTCTAAAACCATAATGTCCATAATGGAGAGGACGCCATTTGTAATAAATTAGCGTCAACTAATTTTTGGGAAATAGGATTTCTTGTCCATTGTGAGGTCCTCCCTTCTTTTCTTTTTTTCTTGGATCATTTCGATTCAGAAATCCATGTATTATGCCTTTTACGTTGGATTGTAACTCATTTTTAATATTTCCTAAAAAAATACACATACTTCTAATATCTGTTGTGAGGGCTTTGGCAAAATTTAGTTCATTTTCAGTAGAAGGTCCAATCTGTGTAAGGAATTCAATAATTTTGTCAGTTGGAAGGGTAAAATTTGAGTATTCCTTTCTGAAATCAGCCAATTTACTCTCTATTTTCTTTTTTTCTGCAGGGCTCAATGGATTTGTTAGCAATATTTTTCCACTCTCGCCAGTGAGCTTCCCTCCTTGTGAAAATGTGGCCACGCCCCAAGACCCAACGTCTCCGCTCTGATTAAATTTCAAACCAATACACACAACTTCTTCCATCGTACCAAAGAAATGTTTCTGCGGGTACTTCACTTTGCACTCGTAAACTGCGTTTTCAGGATTTGCCATCATTTTTGGTTCGAAAATGTACATTTTATTGTTCATGTGAAGTGTGATATCTGCTCGGCCTTTATTTGTTGCATCTGCCATTAAAGGGTTACCCACATTTTTATAGGTGCTAAATTGAGATGCAAGGTACATGGTGAATTGGAACCATGCTTCAAGACCTTTTCTCTGATTCACATTGAGATAGTATGGAATGCTACTATGGAATGAATCCAGTTTGGAAATGAAAGATTCCCAGCGAGATAAATCAAGGTCTTTTACCAACGAGTTTATCCTTCTTTCCATTTTTGTCGGACTATCCCCTGTGCAAGAGTGATAAAAACGCTTAGCATAATCTCGTCTCAGCTCTAGATTAGAGAATTTTAAAGTGAAACTTTGAGTCTCGTTGTTATAGTCACCGACACTCAGGTAACCGCTGTGAAAAAGAAGAGTTTTTAAGGCTTCAGGCTCTGTCGAATCATCATAATTGATTTTCCCTGTGAGTTCTTCGCGTTTAGCAGTTATTTTCTGTTCTTCATCACATTCATCAGATTCTTCGCTGACCGAGGAACCTAAAAATAACCTTAGAGCCTCCTGTTTGAATGTTTTCAGTCTTTGGATAAGGAATCGACTTGCTCCTCCTGTATCACTGTAACAATGTACATCACCTCCGGAACGCAAATAACCGATGACAGAGATCGGACTAAACAAAGACTCGTTTTTCGCGGTGAATCGAAATCCATAATGCCATATAGACATTTCCTTCAGGATGTTTTGTTTGCTACTCTCTCTTCCTGCGGCAACTTTCTCAATAAAGCCCCCAAAGTATTGCGTCAATTCGTCTCTGGTAAAACCCACGATGCCAGAATATTCGGGGTCCATCGTGAGATCAACTGCCGAGTTCGCCCCTGAAAAAAAGTCCGAGAGAGAAAGCCGCGTTATGCCTGTTGTAAAACAGAAGCGTATTTTCGCAACTTCAGTTTTCAGGGTCTTGAAGAAACTCCGTAGTAGTCCTAAAACCTGGTTGGCTAATTCCTCATTCACTGTAAAACTTTCTGTGTAGGGTGAATCATACTCGTCTATTAAAATGACGACCGTTTTATTATCAGACTTTTTGTATAGTGACGTGATCAATCGCGAAAGGGCTGTTACGACGTTCGGCGTACCTAGTTCAATCTCATGCACCATTGCTGCATTTTCCAATGCTCCCAACAGGGTACTATATACTTTATCGAAAGTATGAGTTTCCAAAGCGGAAAAATCAAGTTTAATCACCGGATGTTTAGGCCAAATAGGACCAAGATTTTGTGAATAGATATAGGTACCTTGGAATAGTTGTGCTTCACCTGTAAAGAGTTCCGCCGCAGTGTTAATCAGGAGAGTTTTCCCGAACCGCCGGGGGCGCGCCAGGAACCAAAACACCTGTGTTTCATTTTCGTTGACCATTTTGTGCAAGTACTCCGTCTTGTCGATGTAGCAATTTTTTTTCGACTTCAATACCTGAAGGGTTGCATCGGATGCCGCTGGCAAGGCTCGACATTGATTTTGAATTATCTGTGGTTTGAGTGTCACTGAAGGAGGAGAATCTTTCGAATTCTCTGCTTCACTTGGGGACAAAGTAAACGGCGCGGCAGAATACACAACGCTGATGAACGCCACAAAAACAAATGTAAAACGTTCAAAATCCATTTTAGACCGAAAAGTTGTAGGTACTTTAAAATTTAATAGCTTTGTATTTCGAAAAGGTGTTCGAGCGATATAATGGCTGCACTGCACAGAATATGACTGAATAAATCTGAAGTAACTAAAGCTACGTGCTGGCGCCGAGCCCCGGCTCGGCGTGATCTAATTTTAAGTGATGACTCAGAACTGTGCGCGGCGTGGACGCCCACACACGCGCATACACACGCTCGTACAAATACACAGCCTCGCATTGATTCGTCTGTAACGATAAACAATATGGGACGCGATTGCTACAGCGCCTTGATACAACTATACAACCTCGACGGATGTCCGTATTGCGTTCAAAAAATTGAAGGCGTTTTGACTTCCGACGCTTACCATACTACCTGTAGTTGGTTCGATCGACTAACGCGTTGGTCGGCGGTGACGGGGACTTGATGCAACTATTTAAGCTTGTTGGATGTCCGTATCGCACCGACTGAAGTGCGAAACCACGTATCTCCATTGCGGTGTTTCAAAATTTCCGTTCTTAATTCATCTCTTCCATGAGAAACAATCCAAATTTACGACTTTAATTTTTGAACCAAATCTTCTGCCGTCGATTACGAAAAATATTGGAGAATTAAAGTTTTATGTTGACCAGCTTCTCGAAAGAAAAATAAAATTTCTAAGGAAGTCTGCAACGTCGCAAATGGAGAAACGTCGTCTCTCATTTTGCCCAAAAATATGTATGTATAAAATTGAATGCATAATGACTGGCCTCTCTCAACTCATATTCGTCTGTAATGATAAACAATATGGGACGTGATTGCTGCGGCGCCTTGATACAACTATACATAACCTCGACGGATGTCCGTATTGCGTTCAAAAAATTGAAGGCGTTTTGACTTCCTACGCTTACCATACTACCTGTAGTTGATTCGATCGACAAACGCGTTGGTCGGCGGTGACGGGGACTTGATGCAACTATTTAAGCTTGTTGGATGTCCGTATCGCACCGACTGAAGTGCGAAACCACGTATCTCCATTGCGGTGTTTCAAAATTTCCGTTCCTAATTCATCTCTTCCATGAGAAACAATCCAAATTTACGACTTTAAGTTTTGAACCAAATCTTCTGCTATCGAATACGAAAAATCATGGAGAATTTATAATACAATATCTAACTGCAATGGGACTTTTTAAGAAGTGTCCCGAAAGAGATTCAGAGGACTTTAAAGTTTAAGTCGAAAGATAATCGAAAATTGAAATGACTTTATTTAGATAGACGGAGAAACCACGTATCTCGGTTTGCAGCGTCGCAGACTTCCTCTCATACTTTACTTTTTAAATAGATCACATCTTAACGTTGATTCTCAAAGACGTCCGTGATTTTTCCTCTCAGTGCGAAGAAAATTCTGTGAAAACTTGAAGGAATGATACTGATTTGCTCTCTATAAAAAAAAATAAGATGATAGCTTGTTGAGCTTTTTAAACACCGCAAACGAGATACGTGGTCTAGTAAATTTTATTAAAATAACTTTCTAGGATGAGAGAATAGTTTTCTCTCCCAAGATTGAAATTTTCTCTCCTGAGAAAGAAATTTCCTTTCCCGAGAGAATAGTTTTCTCTCCACAGCGAAAAATTTTCCCTCCCTAGTGAAAAATTCTCCGTTCCGAGAGGATGGTTTTCTCTCCTGAGAGGATGGTTTTCTCTCCCGAGAGGATGGTTTTCTCTCCCGAGAGAAAAATTTTCCTTCCCGAGAGAAAGATTTTCCCTCCCGAGAGAAAACTATCCTCTCGGGAGAGCAAACCATCCTCTCGGGAGGGAAAATTTTTCGCTGGGGAGAGAAAACAATTCTCTCGGGAAAGGAAATTCCTTTCTCAGGAGAAATTTCATTCTCTGGAGAGAAAACTATTCTCTCACCCTAGAAAGTTACTTTAATGTCAACATCACACGCACACGACACGCCGCACATTTTTCAAACTTTTTTCAATAATTTTTCTTCCTCCGTGTCTACTTTTTTACCCTGCGTTTAAGTCGTCACATATGCACGTTCAAGTTATTTTACACAGGGAAACTAGCAGTACATTTTTTGTTTCTAAACTGAGTCAGAAAATTTAGTTCCGAATAGCAAAATATTGATGTTCAAATGTAGTATGATAAAGTACATTTATACATGGAGTCTCGTAGACGTCGTAGGTCCCAACTTTTACTTCACCCCCTCACCAACTCAGAGGCCTTGTAACACAAGTGACAAGAGATTCCCGGCAAATCATTACTTTCCAGCTGTTTATCAAAAACAAAGTATAAGGGGGAAATAAGTTCTGCGCAATGACAAAGTTAAACAGCTGCAGTAAATTAACTGTGCTAAGGTAGCATAATAAATTGCTTTGTATTTAAAGCTTGAATAAAGGAAAAAACGAGAAACTAACTTTTTTTATCTAAAATAGTAAAAATTAATATTTAAGTGAAAAATCTTACCCTAAATCAACGGACAAGAAGACCCTTTAGAATTTTACAAACTAAGCCAACTCAATTGATTTTGAGGCGATGATCTGTCATCGCCTCAACTTTGAGAGCTTTTCCTGGAGGTTAACCTCCGTTTCAAATAAGAAAATCATTGTAGCTCCATCGCGTTCCTTGCAAAATTTTATGTAGTATAATATATGTATACTACAGATCACAAATCCCCATGATTGCTGAACTATAAGCTTACAGTTGAGATGTTACACCTGCATGAGTCATCGACAAGTGAATCGGAGAATGGAGATGTTGCATGTGTGAGGGATTTGCGATTTGACCACTCATTCTTATGTAGAAGTTCGCGAAAAACACGATGGTGCCACTGGTTTTCTCTGAAATCATCTCCCAAGCTCAAAAAAAGCTCTGAAGGTAAGGCCAAAAAGGAGGGGATATTCCACGCTATCCTGAGAGTCCACGTCTACATCAAGACAAACTTTCCATGCAAAGATAGGGAGCAAATACATTGACAGGCTAACACCTTATTTGGGGACTCTTGAACTGAAATCACGGCAACCTTGTCAATGTATTTGCTCCCTATCTTCGCATGGAGAATATGTCTTGATGTAGAGGTGGACTATCAGGATAGCGTGGGACACCCCCTCCATTTTAGCGTCAACTTGAGAGCTTTTTTTGAGCTTGGGAGTTGATTTCAGAGAAAACCAGTGGCGCCATCGTGTTTCTCGCGAACTTTTAAATAAGAAACAACAGTCAAATCGCAAATCCCTCACACATGCAACACCTCCATTGGCTTCCTCGAGTAACTTTTACACCATAGGTAAGAAGGCAGTGTGGAATCTCTAGAACATACCGTCTCTGCTTGAACCCTTAAAAAAATAAATGTGTTATACTTGTTTTCCATTTTTCCTCCCACACTTTGGCACACGGAAGAAAATTGAATGTTGCTTTAGCATTTATAATGTTAAAATATATGTAACAAGTATAAATGCTGATTTTACATTAGAAAATATGCTTGGTTATCACCTACGGTCAAATGAACAAATTCAATGTTGAGTTATAGCATTTTTTTTTAAAGTAAAATCAGCTTTTGATAATTTTCGCATATTTTTTTAACAGTATAATTGCCGAATCAACATTCAATTTTTTTCCGTGCACATATACCGTTAGAAACTTAGAGCCATCTGTATACCAGGGGCGGACTGGCCATATGGGGGTGGGGAGGCGATCGCCCCCTAACAATTTGCCGCTGAGGTCCCGAAGGGGCCCCCGCGGGTCATCGTTTTTTCCCCGAATGTTGTAATTTTCTTATCCTTTTCAATCACTAGAAGGCCCCAATTTCCTTGAAAATTTGTATTTAATAAGAGACATGGAAGGTCGCCACAAGCATTTGTGATGAAGGGACCCCCGATGAATCCTGAGAATGGGTTATTTTGAAGTTCAAGTACTGTAGAATCCAGCTCCAATAATGCCTACGTGTTCAAAAAGTGTGAAATTTTCAAAATTTACCAGGGGAGGACCCCCGGACCTTCTTAGACGGGCCCCTGAACGACAGGGGGGGCCCTTACATTTAGGTCTCTTCCTAAATTTTCGACTACCAGTCCGCCCCTGTGTGCCGCTACTGCAGTTTTGACCGTTAAGGCCGTAGTTTAAGGGTGCTAAAGCCAGGTATGTATTATTGTATTACGCAAACAGATAATTTTTGCAGAATAATTAAAAATTAAGAAGCAGGATTAATTTAACTAAATAATAAACGGAACTCAAATCTACAGTATAATGCAAAACAATTTGGAAAATCTCGTCTTGTAAATACAGAAGATTCGGAAACGCCTTCAATTGAGGCGTGATACCTCACGCATTCCGGAGAGTTCAAATAGTTGTATCCCTGCGCCTTAGCAAGGCGATGGAAGTTTTATATTGAAGTAGCGTCCGCGCGTTGTTTTTCGGTTTTCCTGTGCCGCTACTGTAGTTTCGACCATTAAGGCCGTAGTTTAAGGGCCTTAAAGGCAGGATTGTACTTCGCAAAAAGCTAATTTTTGTAGAATAATTAAAAATTAAAGAGCAGGAGTAATTTAACTAAATAATAAAGGAACTCAATCATACAATATAATGCCGAAAAATTGGAAAATCTCTTCGTGTAAATACAGGGATTTGAAATCGCCTTCAATAGAAGCGTGATACCTCACGCGTTCCGGAGAGTTCAAATAGTTGTATCCCTGCGCCTTAGCAAGGCGATGGAAGCTAAATATTGAAGTAGCGTCCGCGCGTTGTTTTTCGGTTTTCCTGTGCCGCTACTGTAGTTTCGACCATTAAGGCCGTAACTTAAGGGCGCTAAAGCCGGGATTGCACTTCGCAAAAAGGTAATTTTTGCAGAATATTTAAAAATTAAGAAGCAGGAAGAATTGGACTACATTTTGCAATGAGGAACCACTATTTCCCGCTCATTTTAGAAACAACATATATGCCATTGGTTTCCTCATTCAGATAAGTGCTTTTACGGACCCAACTGACCACCAACCTGCGTACCCTGAGGGGTGGCGCCCTTGGAATCTAAGGAGTCCAACCCCCAGGTTATGCCCCCCTTAGCGTTCAAGGAACCCGGCCCCCAGGGGCTGCTCCCCTTAGCATCCAAGAAGTCCAACCCCCGGTTGTTATCCCCCTTTGCAACCAAGGAGCCCAACCTAACGGGGAGTCTTGGGTCGGGGTGTAGGATGTATGTATCTGCTCAATATTTTTCATCAGGTAAAGAGCATGGACCATGGAATCAACAGGTAATCATTATATAAGTGAGGAAAAATGGCTGAATGTGAGGATTTAAACCCGTGTTAATGTTTTAATAATCGTTGGTGACTTAATGATCGGGTAATTCCCCCCCCCCCCCCCCCCCCCCNNNNAATTCAATCCTACGATACGAATGCCTCATGAGCGAACATTTAAAAATACCGCCTGTAGTAGAGGGATATTTGTTGCCACCCGTAAGTGGCGGCATGCGAAAATTCCCACGTAGCAGTGTTGCTAGTGATCGGGGTAGCACTGTAGATGTAACCTCAATTTGTGAAGTCTGATATTTACACACATCAAGAATTTCACGAATTATCAATTTATTTTGCACTCCTTTAGTTAATCGTGCTATTATTACACATATTTTAAGTGTACAAGTCACCATAGTGCTCTAAGAGTCGAAACCGAATTCGATTCTCTATAACCTAATAGTAAGTGTCATGTGTGTGTCTCAGAGTCCATCTCATGTGCTGAAGTTTTAGTCGATCAATTTTTCCTCAGCCCTTAAAGTTATGTATTTTACCTTCGGTATTGTGCATCTTTAATCTACCCTGTGCTCATGGAGTAAATTAGTTCGTAATTAGGTAAGTAAACATATGCCCTCATTACAACTGCAGGCTGAAGTTCAGGTTTCATATTTCGCCGGAGTCAGCGATCTAGCAAAACAGTTTAGAGAATATGTACCTCCTGAAGTAGCACGGATTGATTCAATGTAGTGAAGATTTGGTAATCTCATCGATTACACTAACCCATCATTAAAAATGCCTCTTGCTTAAGACCTTGTCTTTGACAGCCATCTAAGTGTCGTTTTCCCAGGATCTTGCAGGTAAAACCCGTTGATAGAGAGCACATGGCTATCTCTTAAGGTAATCGTAAAGATAAGTCTGTATTGAAACTTTAAGTATCTTTACAGGTAGGATTGTCGTTTCAAGCACAGGTTTGAAGAACCAAACTTATTTATATTGTTCATTGTTTGTTACCTGTAGAGACGTGCAGTATTCAATTTAGTTATTTTCTCTTGATCATCAATGTCTTTCAAATTAAATTGCAACTTTCATAGGCAGCATTAGTTGTGCGCACATATAAGGTGAACACTCATTATTTAAAATTAGTCAAGTTGCAAAAGATTGATTTTGCGTTACCTCTGGAAACTGCTGCGGAACATACCACAAATGCCATCATACGAATGTCATACACACTGCTCTATTTTTCTTGGTATATAGCCTGCTCTGTAAGATGAGTTTGATGCTTGGATCAAAGTTCACTCTCAATTAATCTGTGGGCAATTAAAGGATATCTGCCCTTCCTTTCGATTGAAATTCTTCTTTACCTTACTCTCATTTTCTATTGTTTATCAGCGTTTGTGGTGTGGTGTTTGGTATACACACCACTCCACATATTTGGTGGTGGTGGGTGGTTATTTCTCTATCATTCAATATGTGGCTACCGTTTGAATCCTCCGGTTTGACATAAATTGGTGAGGTAAGTGGCAGCTTGAGCCACTCGAGGGATCAGAGAGCATTCTGCGGTTTGATTATTGAAATTGATAGACAAGTTTGTAGACAAAGAGGGCAAAAAGAAAATAAAGCAATGCTATTGCTGGAAGCGGGTAATTGTAATGAATAAATTAGGAAAGTAATAGACTAACTAATGGCAATTGAAGAGGGACCCTACAGTTAGTCAATCATTTTCCTCCTTAGTATGTAACGAATACCCACTTCAGCCAGTAGTATTGCTCTATTTTCCTTTTATCTTCTTTGTCAATCATGTTGTCTGTAAATTTCAATAATCCACCCGCAGGTAACATGCGAATGAGATTCAAGAAATTAGCGCCCCCTACTTACCATTGCACGTATGCATTTATCGATTTTTATATCTAGGATGCAGAATGTTTGTCATAGATAATGATGGAATGACAAATTAGGGATGGACGAATATCAAATTCGAATGCGATTATTCAAATCTTCGAAACTTTTCGAATGCGATTATTGCAATTATTTGAGAATTCGAATCTTGCGATGGCGAATACTTTGGAAGCGAATATTCAAATATTTTCAATTATTGCTTTGATGTATTAATTAATAACGAGATTGACAATGGGGATGGATGGCTATCGAATTCGAATGCAATTATTCGAATGTGATTATTCGAATTTGCGATTACGAATACTTCGGAAGTGAATATTCGAATGTGATGCGATTATCTCGGGGCCTATAATTCGAATATGAAATATTCGATTATCTAAATAGTCGACCATCCCTATGACAAATTTTTTCTTCGCTCCCTCTAGTGTATGAATGATGTGTCGTATTTATTTATGCTCTTATTTATTTTAGATTGAAGCTATTATGAGCTATCCAAGCAGGGGGTCGAGCCATGGGAACTCCTCTCACAGGGGAAGGGGCCGAGGTCTGATGTTCCAAAGGGTCCAAACAACACCTCATTATGACCTGCCAAATCCGAATGCTGTTCGCACTCCTGCCTCACCCTTACTGGCTGAGTATGATAATCCACAGCATTTAGCGTGGGTGTCTATGCTCGAAGAAGCGTGGAACTTGTGTAAGTTTGCCATCATCAAAACATTTACATTCTGGAAAGAGTCATTCAATGGCCACAGTGCAAAACCACATATCGACGGTGTAAGTCGGCAATCACTCGGTTTGCGACGTCGTAGACTTCCTGTCATACTTTATTTTTGAACAAAAAACTACTGAACAGCAATGCTTTAAAACTGCCATGATTTTTCTTCTCTGTGCGAAAAAAATTCTGCAAAACCTTCAAGGAATGATGTCAATTTGTTCTCCTTTAAAAACATAACATAGAGGCGGAGATTTGCAGACACCGCAAACGAGTTATGTGATTGCCGACTTACACCGTCGATATCTTCATTGCAGTATATCAAATTTTCTGCTCCGATTTTATTTTCTCGAAGAAATACAAGATTATTTCATAACTTAAAACTTTTACAGAATTTTCTACAAGTAGAGAAGAATAATAGAGAGAATTTTCAAAATATTTTGTTCACTAGTTTTCCAATGAGGAAATGAAGTAAAACAGGAGGTCTACTATGTTGCAAATAGAAATACATGGTTAAGCCTTTTGGTTATCGATTTGAATCCCAAGCATGCCTGAGAGACAGATTTTAGCAGTGGCATTTTTGTGAGGGGTGTACTTCATTTTCAACTGTCAAATCTATATTTTGCCACAGATTCTCCTCCCTGAAAATTTCCTGATCATTTTTTATTTTATATTAAGTGTGCGAACACGGTGATCCCCAGCGTGCGGATTTATCCGTGCCGCCCTATACCAACACAGACCGCGTACGGACAAAAACCTTATGTGAAAACGCTGCCCTATTTTAAAATATCTGTACGCGTGATGTCACAGAATGATGCAGCAGCCAGTAGCAGCTTGGAGAGCTGTAGAGCGTACGGATCTCATACATGGAGCACCTGGGAACACTAGCTGAGCATATCTGTAGATGTATTTAACTCATGAACTGTTTCAATTGAGCTTATTCATTGCAGAGGAACCCTGTTACTAAGCTACGTCTTAGTCCACCCGCATTTCTTTTTCTTTTCCCATCTCTTTTGAATTTCCTGCCACACACTGTAATGGGAAATTTGAATGAAATCAAGAATACAATTACTTATATTTAGGCGCAACTGTAGGAAATTGTTTTACCACAGCGAGTATATTCAGCTGAAGAAAGTTGTCCGTGCATTCGCAACCCAGTGTTTCACTGCAAGGGTGAAATTTCTAAATTTCCCTCTATCTTGTTGAAAATACACAAGAAAATATATCCGTGTCATTTTCCTGGCTCATGTGGCTCAAAATGACTACATCAAATTTTTAGTTCTGTTGGACTTTATCCAATTGATGTTCAAGTTATGATGTTTTTTCTTGGTCATGCCTGAAAATCTTTCCACTAAGCAGAATGTCAGACCATGTAACTAATTTTATTTCCTAATTAAACAATCACCTTAGACATGGTGATGAGCTGAAGAATTTCAATCATTTGTTCCAGGGAAAAAAGATGTCAAATTTCAAGAGAGGCTATATTCTTACTACGAGTCAGTCCCAAATCCTTACATGGGAGCATTGTATGTCATGTTGAAAGCCAAGGATTTTCGTTTAGGGAAAATTGATTCGCTTGCATATACTGGTAAGTCTGTATCCCTCTATATTCACCCTATTGAGCCATCAGATTAAATAAGGTTTAAGTACAGCCATGTTGAATTGTTGGGTTTATAAGCATCTCAACCGTAGGATATTTTTGCCCTAACTTTGGTCGAAAATTGAAACAGCTTAGAATAATGTCATGTATGGTCAAATCAACTCTTGATCATCTACCCTGTGAGAACTTGTCCTTATTTGAGGTGTTTTTTCACAAGGTTCTTTTTAACATAAATACGTCCAATGGACCATGTTCTTCCAGATAATCACCAGGATTTTCCAAAAACAGACGTCCCCTAAACAAGACTCAAAATCTCCCAGAAAATTGGAAAGTTCATCAAGGAGCTCATAATAAAAATAAACACTACAGTCTCTAAAATATTTTTGGTTTCAAATTTGTTGTCCATGTCGACTAATCGCTGAAAAATTTATGGAATGAGGAGAATCAAAGTTTTTGGTTTGGTTCCCAAGAAAAAATATAGTTACCCCCAAAAAATTGGAAAAAGTGGTGTCTCCTATAATGTTTCATCAATTAATAAATAAATTCTAGACACCATGTTCTAATTTGTTTTCTTTTTCTTTGATTTATTTGAAGCATAAGTGTACGTACATGATGGCAATAAATTCTAATGTGCATTAAAAAGTAAGAAGACAAAAAAGTATGCACTGTTTTATTTTTCTCCAGAATTCATTTTCAACTTTCATGAATTAATTTTCCTCTCTTGTTTTTTTCTTCGCCCATTCAGCAATCGAAGACTTTGGAAAGTGGATTCAACCGAGGCGGCAGCATTACTCAGCATGTCTTACGCCAGATCTGATGCAGTTCGCTTTCGCAGAAGTCTGCAAACAAAGAAATACTTCGTTGATCAAAATGGTCTGTGATATTTATGAGTGTTCGACGATTAAGGAAAAATTCTCGCAAGACATCGAAGTGATGTTGAAGAAAAAAGATTATAAGGAGGTAAGATTCTGAATTATCAAACTTCTCTCCATTTGGCAACTTCTCTGAAATCAAAATCAATTTTTCTACATAAATGTCATGTATGTGCTCTAAAACTTGAGGCTTTTTTAGGGTCAGTTAGGTAGCCACACATTTATTCAATAAGATGAGTATACAGTCAGTAGTCTTAAAAAGAGGTCCCAAGGCTGAGAAACTCAAATTTCTGAAAATTGTGAGCAATAACTCATTCCTAGGAAATCAACCTTTGCTGACCTAGTCAACAGACATCCTGTTATCTCTGTCATGCTGAAGGAGTACGACGTATGAGCCTCAAGACATAGCCTTTTTCTCTGATAAAATACGAATTTTCAGGGGAGCTTTAGACTATATATATTAGCTATATATTTTCTTCCAATTTTTCTGAGAAATTCATGGAAAATTTAATCTAAAGTATCTGAAAATTTCAATGAAAAATATTCATGACTTTTGTCACAGTTAAATATTTTATTAGGAAAGATTTGACGCTGTTTGAAGGCTCTTACAGCTTTCTCCCTAAGCCCCACAGATTTGAGCTTGCGAGAAAAGGCACTCTGTCTACGTGACCTTACATTTGCAAATTTACTGTATCAATTTTTTTTTTTTTTTTTTTTTTTTTTTTGATCTTAACCAAAGATAAGAATTGTTTTTCTCCTTATTCTGTCAGAAAAATAATGTGAACTTTGGAGCTTTGAAGAGCTAAATAATTGCTTTGCCTGTTTAGCATCGTACAATTTGACAGTGAAACTGCAAAAATGCATATTTTGGTCGCGGTTTTGAAAATCCTCACCCCTAATTTTTAAAAAGAGAACAGACCAACATTATGGCTCGAAATTTCCGCAGAATTTTCTGGACGTGGAGAAGAAAAACCTCTGAAGTTTTAAAACAATGATTTCTCATGATTATACGGATCATACATATATCAACATGAGTATATATGGTCCATACAGAAAGTAAAGAATGACAGAAAGTCTGTAGTGCTGCAAATCGAAGTATACATTTCACCATAGAATTGCTGTATGAGAGAAGTGGACTTGACTTATTTTTATCATCGACCGTTTCCAATATCAATGTTTCACCCTTTTACAGGCTTGCCTTTGTGCCACCTTCCTTGGGCTCAACTCAAGATTCTCTGTAGAAGACTTCTTGATTCCTCTTTTATTTCAAGACAAGATCAATATTGCCGAAACATTCTTGAAGGATGATCCTGTCCATCAAAAAGAAGTGATCGCGTATCTTGACAGGGTGATAGGCGCATACAGTGTCAGGACAGAAGTAGATTCAATTATTAGGTACGGATTGGCTCCTTTTTTATATTTTTTTCTGGATGCTTATTCATCACATTTTCCTATCATCATTTAGAGACAGCGAATGGTCCACCTGATAAGGTACAAATTTAAGCATTCTGATACATGTTGCTTAGCCAGAATATCACGTAGAACACGATTCTCGCATCAAAAATTACTGAAATCAACTTACAACTTCGATATTAACGTTTTACTTTTACATTGGTTACGGGAAATTTGATGTTATGCTGGTATGGACATGTGCAAAGAATGTCGGAGGAGAGGTTGCCCAAGTAAGTTTTGGATTGGGTACCACCTGGGAAAAGGTGACAGGGTCTTCCTGTAAAGGAGTGGCGGCAGGGCGTTGACGAAGAGATGTTGCGGTGTCAGTTGCCCGATAACCTCTGGGAAGATAGGCATATGTGGCGTTTGGGTATCGCAGAACGCCAGAGTGTGTTGTAGGAGCGAATATATATACACATACACACCGGATATTTGAATTGCCCGGTCACAAGAAACACAATACTCTACGTGAGTCAAATCGCGCATACATTTGAATGGTTCGCTGTTCAAAATGCGCATTTCCATTTCACTCAAGAAAAAGGTCTCTTAACTCCACAATCGGAATTTCTTCATGATGAATCAGTTGTTTTCAACAAGGAACATGTCCCGTTTTAGATAAACTCTAATTTGAATGCATTTTTATCTGCTTCAGAGCTCTTTCTTAAACGGGTTTGTTGCCTTTTAGAAACATCTGATTCCAATACTGAAGCAATTTTTTGAGTGAACGACACATCAATGGAACACATCAGAATGTGTTTTTCAGTTTTCTCCTGTGTTCACTTAGCTTTAGCTCTTGTTTCATGTTTTTCCAGAAAAACATTGATGATGCAATCATGAGAATAAAATCTTCAGATTGCAGCATTGCTAATCTCTTGTTTTATTTTACGTTTATGAAGGCTGATGACCTTTAAGATGATTTATTTCTGTGCTTTTCTCTGCATTACAAACGGGTTGTAAAAAATCAGTGCCCCCAACCATCCAAATGTAAATCTTGATGTTTGAGGGTTCCTAAAAAGGTATCAACCCCCTATCAGCGTGTATGCAACATTGGTTTCCTGGATCTATATTTTTCAATTATTTAAAAGTACCTTACAGCTTTCACTAAAGAAACCAAAAAATTTTTGGATTACGTCAATGCCCAAAATTGTCTGGTGATATTCCATAAAGTAATACAAGAGTAAAATTTTGAAAATATCATGAGTTGTTTGTACTAATAAGAATGCACCAATGGGCCTGTTGCAAACTTTTGCTAGAGCAAAAATAAGAGTTGTTTCTTATAGATAATGCCTCAAAAATCACGATGAGCGCATCGGCAAAGTCTGAAATGCACTCATAACTTCACAATCTGCGTAAGAAATTTGCGTTTTTTTAAGCTTCCCGCTTCAAAAACGATACTACGGCATAGGTGAACATTTTGTTAGAGGAGTCGCTCCATCGTCGGCGATATTCATCATGGCCGACGCTTGCACGCAGTTCCGCGCGTAATTCAAGGAGAGTTCAAGGTCAATCAATTCGGGCGTGGAAAATATGAACGTTAACACACCGATTGTTATCTGGTCTAATCCAGTTCAGGTGTTATCTCGTCCCATCAAACGTGTTTTGGCGGATTGGCGTCGGCTATGATGATTATTGCCGACGATGGAACGACTCCTCTTACAAAATGTTCACCTGTGCCGTAGTATCGTTTTTGAAGCGGGAAGCTCAAAAAACCGCAAACTTCTTACGCAGATTGTGAAGTTATGAGTGCATTTCAGAGTTTGCCGATGCGCTCATCGTGATTTTTGAGGCATTATCTATAAGAAACAACTCTTAGTTTTGCTCTAGCAAAAGTTTGCAACAGGCCCATTATTTATTTACCAAATCAATTTTTAGTTCCTAATCTCAAATTAAGTGAAAATAATATTCTATGATGAACTCTAAGAATGAAACATCCTTGCAAAATTTTTTCCTATACTCTTAAAAGCTCTTGGGTCGTTAATTTGGGAAAAGGTGCATGTCGACCCATGATTCTTTATCGTCGCTCAATATGTTGTAGGAAAGCAAGTTAAAGGTTTGTAATAAATGAACTATTTTACTACAAAGCACATGCGATGTCTTCCTTACGATTTCTCAGTGAAGTTCAAATCAATAGCTGAATAAGAAAAAGAAATGAAATTCAAAGAAAGAAAAAATGTACTTATTAGATGTATTAAATTAGAACTTAAAACTGTGACCAGAGACATTTTCCCTTTGATTGCCTCCCTGGCAGATCCTCATAACTTCTTTCTTAACATTAAACCCTTTTTCATGCTTGTTTTTAGTCGTTTGGACATACCGCATTGCAAGATGGAGAAGTTGTATTACAAACCACTTAGTAAGTTGATCACTCGTTTTGTGAAGCAGTTCAAGATGAGTATGGAGGAAATCTGTCCGAATCTGGCCCGTAAGAAGAAACGAGGCGTACTTTTCTTCCTCATCAATAAACGTTACATAGAAACCCCCGACCAAAACCAAAATCTCAGTAAGTGTGTAAAAAATTCAAGCAAATTCACCGTGTCACTCAAAAGAGTTCCGGAAATATTCGCATATAGGACAGAAAGACATAAATGATTTAAATTGTTAGTGTTACACATTGTTGTTGAATTAGTTATCCTGGGATTCATACAACAAGCAACTGGCCAATTTGGTAATGATAACACCTAAACAGTGTTCCATTTTCAATAAAATACTGGAGAGTCAGCTTAAAACTATCAGCACTCATCAACTTTTTTTTAAAAAAAAAAGAATAAATTAACAAGCGTCAAACGTTCTCAGCTGACTCTCCAGTATTTTTTTTAACTAAATTCTGTTCGTTTTTGGTACAATATTTTAATTGGTGTTCTGACTTCAGGGTAAAACTTTAGGATTCATCTTGACCGGCAAGCCTGACTTTTAGGAACTTCCACAATTTTGTATGGACCAAAATGATTTTTGCTTTTGTTTCATTCCTATCTTGAACTGCACCTGCGCTGAGAAAGCTGAAAAATCACTATTGCTAGAAGTTGTAGCAGGTTATGTCTCATTTTTAAGGCGCCAGGTTTGGCCAAAACTGGTGCAGTTTACGTAAGGTGCCTGGTGAAGAAGGAACACAGCCTATCAGAGCAGCCATTTTATGCGAGTTATATGGATTGATTCAGACAAAAGCTGCAAAAAAGTACCTACGAAGTACATAATTTTTCTCCTAGAGACAGTACTCAACTTGTTCAATGCTCAGGTTAAAGTATCTAAAAGTTACGCTAACTCTTGTAAAGAGCCCTAGTTGACACCTTAGATTCAAAATAAGTGACCCATAAGGTTAGTTTTGTGGCTATAGTTGTGAATGCTTTTTACTAAAAATAAAAACATGAACTCAATTGAGAAGAAAGTTTAATGTGCTGTAATTAATACGAGATCTTGTGGTTTTTTCATGACTCATCTCTATTTTACAGCAGTCTTTCCCTGGCTTAAGTTGTTGGTATTTCACTGTGTTTTTTGCGGATTAAGTTGTTCTCTATTCTTTCACTAGTAATTATCCGATCAAGAACTAAGTTCATTATTTAATTTCAGGCACTGATAGTTGGCGAGAAATGGTTTTAGAAGGAGTTCACGGTGATGCCGAAATGCAACTTGAATTAGTTCGGGAATTAGACATCCACCAAGATTATGACGAAGCTGTTTATTGGGCTCAAAAATTCAACATGCCAGTTGAACAGCTGCCACCAAATACTCAAGATGTGTACAAACAGAAGCAAAGTTGTGATAGGTAATTCATATTTCACCCTCTTCACCTATCACTCTATCGGGCGGATCATTACATACCGCTTTGATTTACCTTATTACTTTTTTCATCCTGGACATCGATGTCCAAGTTGCAAATCTTGTATCTATATTGCAGTGTCTCATAATTGGATTGCATTTTACAAAAAGGAACCAAAAGCATTGCCATGTTGCTAAGATTCTGCGACTTCACCCTTTGCAATAAAATTCCTGTAATCATGCAAAAATATGAAATTTACATGGTAATTTTGGTCTTAAATTTACAGTTTTAAACGTGTGAAATAGAAAATGTTTATAGATGACCATTGACCAAGTTTTTCTTCCAAGACAAGAGAAGTTGCACAATCTCAGCAACATTGCAATGCTCTTGGTTCCTTTTTGCAAAATTCATTCCAATTATCGCTCCCATTTTATTTTAAGAAAACAAGCCAAGTTTGTAGCCTGAAATTTACATGGAATTTTCTGCTTACTGAGAAGAATTATCTGAGAAGTTTTTAAGAAATTACTTTGACTAGTTTTGCAAAGAAATTCTGAATTGTGCCTGCATATTGACCGATTCATTTTCCCCCCGAAAATTTACCATAAAGACTTTTTCTTCATTAGAATTTGTCGCTAATTCTGTAGCTCTTTTACTCTGTCAACTGGAGTTTAAGTGGAATCCAAGAAATCCACTGACTAAATAATAAATATTCACTTTGTCCTGGTTTGAGTCTTATGTGTAAAGTTTTTTTTTTTTTTAATTTTCAACATTGAATCAGTTTTGCAATAACACCAATATATAGTTTGTTTTCATTTTGTTTAAATATTTATTCTTCCATAATCTTTATTTGCTGTTCAAAAGGGAGAGCGTGGAAATTCCGGAACATCCCAGTTTTACTTTGTTAATTTTCCACCCTTTTGCATGAATCAAGTCCTTTTTCATCCTAACTCGTTTTAACCGAATCTAACCTTGATCGAATTTACAGTAGTTCTAGCGATGCAGACAGTAATCAACAAAGTACAAATCAAGCAAATAAAGAGGTGCAAGGAAATGCTGACTACCACAAACTAAAGATCCCAGTAGAAAATATCATCATGGTCAGTGACGCGGCGAGTTTTGCCAGAGTTCTTGAGACTGGTTTCAACGACGTAACACTGGTCGGTTTGGACTCGGAGTGGAAACCGCTGTTCTGCTCAGGCCCTTCCACGATCGCGCTCCTTCAAATCGCTACCTCCACTCATGTCTACATTTTTGATACCTTTAGTCTTCAGCCAGTCAATGATTTCAAGGATCTTTGGAATCAGCTAGGCGCCAAGTTATTCGCGAATCAAAATATCATTAAGTTAGGTAGGTCCCAGTACTGGTTTAATTGGTTAGTACTGTAAATAATTGAGGTATTCTTTGCAGAAACGTCTGAAGCTTTGCAGTGTTGCTCAAATTGCGCCACTGTGGTCATAATTTGTGGTAATATAAATAAATATATGCTGGAAATGTTAATGGAAAAAAGAGTAGCAATGCGCAAGATATGTTATGTTGGTGACAACATTTCAGTCAGACCTTCAAATTGTTTTGTCGCAAACAATGCACCAAACTTCACGAACTGCGCATCACGACAAAGTGTATCGTTTCTATGAAGAATGGCTCAATTTGATCCATGCAATAATTAGCTAAAGGCATGAAAATCGCTTTATATTGATGCATTTCTTTTTGATTGTTTTTTTTTTCACCCTGTTCCTAGCTTTACCATTTATTCCAACGAAAATTAATAACTTTGGATACTTCAGACTAGTCTTGAAACCCATTCAATGATGCTTCAACTTGAAGTATTCCAGCATCCAAATTACACTCTTGTCAACCAAGAGCAGAGCCTTGTTACCCACCCAAAAATAAGTAGTTGAAGAAGGAATGATAACAAGAAAAGAAGCAAACATCATTCTTTCTATACAAAAGCATTTTCTGGTAACAGAGTCTTTAAACAATTTTATATTTGCTGTTTCTCATTGAGTTCATGGTCGAGATTACTGAAATTTTGGCTCATAATACTTGGAAGCAATACCTGAAAACAGGTAACAAATTGTTAAAAATCTCTCACATCTTCAGAAATAAGGCATTTGGAACTTTCAAATGTGTTCCTCTCCAAGTTAGGATTTCCGTGCATGCTTTTTTACTGTAAAATTCCTGGATTCTTTGTTTAAATTTTATCCATGTTAATGGTCAGTTTTGCTGGTCACCGAATCGTATTTTGATGCTATATTCTTGCAGGTCAAGTAAAAATAATAATATCCGTTCAAACAGCAACTTTCTAAGTTGAATATTAACCAAGATATGGCGCCTTGAAAAACTCAATTTATGACGTCCTTCACGGTAGTACATACCATGTTATGCACTACCGCGGTGGGTGACGTCAAAAATTCGACTCTTCAAAGGAAGATATCTTGGTTAATATTTAACGTAGAAAGTTGTTGTTTGGACAGATATTTTTATTTTTAGCTAATCTACAAGAATGGAGCATCAAAACACGATTCTGTTACCAGCACAACTGGCCCATTGTTTTTTACTGAGAAAATTTAATAGTAAATTGACAGAAGCATTGTCCTTTCTTTTATAGGTTTTGGTCTATCGACTGACCTGAAAGCTATCAAGGGTCTCCTACCTCTGGGAGATGTGAAACTGTTCGGCTTAGGTTACCTTGATCTCTCCACTCTCTGGCAGAGACTTGCCAAAGAATTCTCAATTCAGTTCCCCTTCAAAGGTGAGTAAACAGACTACAGTGAGTTTATCAAAAGATTTATTTCCATTTTATTTATCGATTATTGATCTTTTCCCGGTTTTTTAAAAAAAGTTGCAAGCCTACCGACCTGAGACCACCCAAGCCTGGGAATTCAGGATCATGCGGATCATTCAGGATCTTCATCAAAAATGATGGATCTGACGAATTCTTTGCATTGAGTTTTAGAGAAAAGTTCAAAGAATTCTCTCGCACAGCTTTACTAAAAAGGTTGGAATTTTCCCTAAAATAGACTTCGCTGGGAGAAATTTTATTTTCCAGCAAATTATTGAATGGTGATTCAAAACCAAGGTCATTTTTGGAGTTGTCAGCCATCTATACTATAAGCTCCGAGACCTCCTAATTTTGCGAAACTGGTAACGCTTAGTTCCAGCGTTTTACCGGGCCGATTGTATTTTCTACTATTTATAGTAGAATTCACTCCTATACATTCACTCCTATACATTCATACTATTATATATACCGACACTATTTTCTCAGAAAATTGCTGCAAGTCAAAATATTTTGCTATTCATCCTAAACTCAGCATCAAAAAATATGATAGGATTATTTAAGTTTTCTCTAACATGAGACATGGCTTAAAATTTGCAGGATTTTCTTGCCTCTCACTGACTCCCAGGTCGTTTTTTTTTTCAATGGAGGGCTTGAAATGTCGTGAATTCCAGCAATTTTAGATCCTAAACATCGCAGATTAGACTTTTAAATGGACCGCGTGAAACAGAAAGGAACCAAGCCACATCAGCAATTGCCAAATTTAACAGGGGAATTCGATTTTTTACGAGAGACCGTTTGTGCGGATTCCTTTGAAAATTTGAAGGAATTTACTAGGCATTAAAGAGAAAATTCATAGAAATTCGCACAAAAATCCGAACAACTGTTTTCATGTAAGAAATTAAATTGCCTGATTAAATTTGGCAATAGCTGATGTGGCTTGGTTCCTTTCTTTTTAACGCGGTCCAAATTTCTTTTTTTCAAAACAAAATTTCCTTAACTAGAGAATAGAAACTTCAATAACTCCAGTCTGGTCTGGCCTGGTGTTTTTTGGTTCCAACATATTCATGGAATCCTACTCAACCCTTGATAACTTGAGGTCCCCTTTTTGTAGATGATCCCAAACATTACATTTTCATTTTGCTAATTGCAAATAATGCATATCTCAATTGACCATTTTGAAGTCTTTAATCATTTTTTATTTTTTTTCAGGGAAAACTTATGAAAATTTTTACTCACAATTGTTTTATAATTACGTTGGAATAAGTGAAGAAGATTCACAAAAAACTTCAATGGAAACTGTTGATTAGTTTTCCTTACGAAAAAGTATAAAACATGAGCGACACCCACAATGTCCCAATCTGAGTTGTGCATTTTTAAACTTTAGTTGTCAGTTAACAAATAAAGAAAATCATAAGTATTTTTTGTTATTTTATTTTTCATAATTTCTGTGATCAAAATTTCAAGGACGGAAGTCCAAAAGGTTTTAGACTCTTTAATGGAAAATATTGACTTCTAATCTCATAATTTTCCTCATTATTATCATGAATTTTTTACCCTTTATCTAGATGATGATGCTGGATCTGGTCTTTCAAAGTTAGTTGCTCTCACGCTTGGAAAATCTCTGTGCAAAGGGGACCAGTTCTCAAATTGGGAGAATAGGCCACTGAGACAAGCTCAAATTGAATATGCAGGTAAGCTTTTATTCAATTTTTAACTTTTTTAGCACAGACGCACTTTAAAATACTCCCTTTGGATTATTTTCTGTGATCTACGACCTGTTTAGCGGTGCAAATTAGCTGAAATCCGTAACTTTAGATACTTCCCAATAGATTTTAAACTCCGTATTAAACAGATTTTAAACTCAGTATTAAAGTGATACTGGAAATTGAAGCACTTAGCAAACAAAGTACTCTCTTCGTCCATACTTTTGAAATGTACGAAGTTGCATTTTGAGAAAGTAATGAGTTGGAAGTCTTTTTGAATTCAGCTAGTCAAAAATTTGTGTCGTTTCCGAGTATCCAAAGTCGAGAAAAAATATTTTAAACGAGGAAGCACTTGCTAAACTTTGTCCTTAAGCCTTAACATAAGTCTTTTGGAGGAGTAAAACTCGGAGCTTTTTTCTTTCCGCTCATACTTGATGGGACTTACGTTTCTATAAAAAAATTTCCAGTTTACATCTAGTTAAGAAATTTTTGATGAAAGAGATGAAAGCAATTTATGCTAATTTTTTTACATCAAGTGTTTGATTTTTGCAGCTTTAGATGCTTACTGCCTTATAGAAGTTTACAAGGTGCTGGAAAAAGTCTGTGATGAGCAAAATATACCATTTGCTACTCTATGTCAAGAAATAATGTCCAATTATGTCTCGAAAAAAATGCCCAAGAAGAAAGGAGCCTTGTCAAAAGTAAGAATTTAGTTCTGATTAAAAGCCATTTGAAGTTTTAATCCATGTTCCGAACTATCAGATTACTATACAGGCCCAAAAATTAACTGAAATGTTGGCTGATTATTATTTTAAGAAGAAGATATTAAAGAGTTTTTTCCATTTCCATTGAAAACTCAGATCCCAATGTTTTCACTGGTCATGTTCAATATCGTTCTGAAAAATGTGCTTCAGTTTACAAAGGTTGTGTTTATGTGATGAATATTAATGAAAAATATAACATTTGCTCTTATTGACTAAACTTTTGGCTTTTTTTCACCTACAGATTTTTTATGCATGAATTTAGTTAAGTTTTGAGGTGTTTTTAATTAATTTTCCGTTATTTGCAGCCAAAAGTCTTGTCGATGGCTCCTTCACCAATCAAAGCTCCTGTTTCCGTCCACGACCTCAAATTCGTCGTCGATACAATGATCTGCGGTTTAGGGTACCAGCTCCGCAAGTGTGGCATCGATGCAGTCATGCTCCAGAAAGGAGATGCCCACCACAAAGCCTTGGAAATTGCCACCAAAGAAAAGCGCATGGTCTTGACGCGAGGTCAAGTCTACGAAAAGGTAAAACTCCGTGAACTTCCCTGCTAAGTGTCTCCAGTTAAGCTATTACGAATTTAATAGACGCAAAAGGGTGCCTTTGAGTGGTTTTAAAATGGCATTTTATCGCTCTAACATTTTAATTCTCTAGAATGTTGCAAAAATGTAGTGTTTCTCTAGTGAATCTGGTGCAACAGTGTGAAAAATTTTACATTTTCAGCTGTTCTCTCGTTGGGTGCAGATATAATCCTTTCTTAGAAAGTAATGAACAGATGGAAAAGAAAGTGAAGCTGTTGCGTCACTCATCTACTTGAAGAAAAACGTTTGAAAAGCAAAGTATAGCCCATTATACTTTTGTATAGTTTTCAATTTTATTTTTCAATTAAAATAAAATAAAAACAAGCAGGAAAGCTCTAATACTGTCGTATTAGAAAAGCGCTCAGGTGTTAGTAAATGTATTTAGTGAAGAAAGGAAGTATAAACTCAGTCGACTTGGCTGTGAAATGGAAATAAAACATCAGCTGATAGCAAACAAAGGTTACCAAGGAAACCGTAAACGCGTTTTTTCGTTTCCCGAAAATGATAGTCACCGTTGAGCTCATCAGGCGCGTTTTTTTTAGGCTTCATTTAAGTTCAACGATCAATTTCGATAAGAATTACTCTACCGCTAAGAAATTTTCTTATAGACAAACGATCAAAACTACCTGCGCATTACGTTAGAAGCATAAAATACAGTTTTCACAGCTTTATTTATTTTAAAAATGGACCCCCCCCCCCAAAAAAGCCTACACATCGATGAGCTGGTGCGCCATTTAAACGAATTAGCACCAGTATACTAGTACTCTAGAGGCAAGTCGAAATCAAAAAGCGCTGCCTATCGGCTGAGCGCTTAATTAGAAAAATATAAAAGGCACAGCAGATAAGTTCAAGTGCAATTGAAAAAAATTTTATAATATTTTAAAAGCCCTAAAAATAAAATGTAAAAAAACTGTAAAAATTCTAAAATCTGAAAAAAAATTTAGAAGTCTTAACTCATGAAATTTTTGTGCAAAGCAACAAAAAACGGTTAACTCAAAATGTTACTTTATCCGACATTTTTTTCCGGCTCTAAGGCTATTTAAGTCCTTGAGATTTCACTGGACATTAATAACCACGCTTCAAAATCTCTGCTTTTATTTTATTTTCTTGAAGAAAGAGAAACAAACTTTTTGTTTCTTATTTCTACAGGAGACTTCTTTTGTGATGAAAAATAGTAACAGTTGGAAGGGATAATGTTTCTTACTGTTTCTTAAAAAGATAAAATGTGACAAGAAATCTTCAATGTCGCTAATTTAGATACATTCATTATGACTTTTCGTGTATTTTCTTGTGTATTTTTTTTTACACTTCTAATATCCCACAAGGGATAATCTAACGCTTTATCGTCCCTAGAGTCCCATCCCCTGTCGCCCCTAATGGCCAGGAATCGAACCTGGGCCCTCTTAACAGGAGAAGGAAAGCATGTATGAAGGACGCAGAGCAAGGGAATCATGGAGCATGTATGGAAAATTTGATTTACTATTTCTCATGCAAACCATACAAACTTATATTTTTCACTCACGAGTCAATTTCAGAAGTTTTTGATTTGTTTAAAGTGTTAACTTAAAAGTAAACCTGTGCTGTAGTGCTTGAACTTTGTATTTATCAGAACTTTTCTTACAGTCTAATTATTTTCTCGCTGTTTTAGTTGTATGGGTGCTTAAAACCAGGTCATTGCTACAGAGTTGACGCAGATAATATTGAAGATCAACTACAAGAAGTATTAGATTATTATAAAATTGACGTCAAAGAAGAAGATATTTTCTCCAGATGTCAGGTATGTGTCTGCATTTTCACTTTCCTAATGTTGTGTTTAGGACTGTAGTTGTAAAATTTGGGTACATGTGGTTTCAAATTGAGTATAAATCCCAAAATCGTATCCCAAACAGGGTTGCCACAGTCAGGGAAAACCGGGAAATGTCAGGGAAAATGACGGAAAATACAAAAATGCAAGGGAAAATTTGTTAAATTACCTTCATTTGCTTTCTACAATGAGTTTGAGATTTCAAACAACAAATTTTGCCTGAAATCTATTTTCAATTATACCTTCCTAGCCGTTTGCCGTATCTTCAATTGGACGTATTTCTGTCAAACGGAACTATGTGCATTATGACGTGAGCCCTGTTATGCATATATTCTTATGGGTCTCAGGGCTCATGGCTTAATGCACATTGTTCTGTTTGGTAGAAATACGTCCAATTGTCAGGGAATTTCACCAAAATGTGTTCTATCAAGGAAATGTCAGGGAATTTCATTTTCTAAATTGTATGGCAACTCTGCAAGTTTCATCGGTACTAATCATATTGATAGAGAAGAAAATTTGAAGACAATGTACTTTTCAGCAAATAATTTCTTTGCTGGCAGCAGAATTATCAACGGACATCAGTCCATTTGATAATTCGATTTAACTGTGACAAAAAGTCAAAAATTTCCTGAATCACATAGCTTTTAGCATTATAATTTCTTTATTTAATATCATACATTTTCGCAGAACCAATGGACCACTATACAAGGTACGAATTTCAGCATTCTGATACATGTTTCTTAACTAGAATTTCACGTAGAAAACGATGCGCACAACGAAAATTACCGAAATTAACTCCTTACGAAGATATTTGATGATTCTTGATGCGTGAATTCAAACCACCCGCTCATTTAAATTCAATGCTCTACGTGATGCACATCGCGCGCTAAACGTTATCATGACAGTCTCTGCGATGTAAAAATCTGGCAACCTCAGTCTTGACACTGTGGCTCAGCTGTAGCAAATTGCTTATAGTTTGAAAAACACATGGTAAGAAATAAACATTACTCGATTGGGAAGCTTGTTGAAACCGTTGTAGTGCGCGATTTGACTAACGTAGAGTTTTGAGTTTCTTATGAGCGGGCAGTTCAAATTCCTCGTAACCAATGTGACGAAATAAAAACGTTAATATCTTCGTTTGGGGTTTGTTTCATTAGTTTTCGTTGCACGAATCGTGCTCTACGTGAAATTCTGGTTAAGAATCATGCATCAGAATGCTTAAATTTGTACCTTGTCTGGTGGTCTATTTTCCAAAAACGAAAGAAACAGAAAGAAATTGGCAAAGAAGAAATTGCATAATTAGCGAATCAAGTATGTACGAGGAGGGACTCAAAATAACCGGAATTTTGCTGTAACTTTGCAACGATGGAAAATATTCGGGTTCCACCGCTTAGAGGTGTAACTAGGAGCTATGAAGAGTCACTACGCCAAATTTTAACATCGTGGCACATTTTGTTTAATTTTGGCGGGACTTGGTTTAAGGGGTTGTCTGGCGAGTTCGTCGTTTTTGAAGATGGGTCAATTTCAGTAACAACAATTTGTGCTCAAGTTTTTCTCTTTTACTCGATAAGAACACGGCTTTCTCTGGTAACCTTTTGAAGTGCTGCTTCTGGAGGACAAGCCTCCTAAAAAACTTCAGTGTAAGTTCGGTTTTTCGCTTTAAAAATGGTTCTGTATAGCCCGAAACCCCTATAAGGCTACAACCCATCATCGCCATCGGATGGAACCGATGCAAATAATGAATAAAATTGCATTTTTGTGAACTAGGTTGGTTATAGATCATTTATTTAACTAGCAGATATCACTTGAATGTAATACAGAAATATTCCAAACATTGCTGTGAAAAATTTGGGCCTAAAACGCGTTGTTGCCGAATTGATCCCCCATTTAGCGTTTCTAGCCGGTGACTGCCGCTGGGCGTCCAGCCTGATTTCGAGCAATAAATTACACTCTAAAACAAAGAAAAACATGTATCTACTTATATCGTCAGTGAAACATGTTCCCTGCAAGATTTACTCCAAAAATTGACCGAGTTAGCCATGCATTGCCAGTAAAAATCACCCAGCTTCAAAAACGACGAACTCGAGTTTTTGATGAGGCTTATCCTCCAGAAGCAGCACTTCAAAAGGTTACCAGAGAAAGTCGTGTTTTTATCGAGTAAGAGAGAAAAACTTGAGCGCAAAGTGTTGTTACTGAAATTGACCCATCTTCAAAAACGACGAACTCGCCAGACAACCCCTTAAACCAAGTCCCGCCAAAATTAAACAAAATGTGCCACAAAGTTGAAATTTGGCACAGTGACTCTTCATAGCTCCTAGTTACACCTCCTAGCGGTAGAACCTGAATATTTTCCATCGTTGCCAAGTTACAGCAAAATTCCGGTTTTTTTAGGTCCCTCCTCTTAAATTACAATTGACGATTGGATAATTTTGTTCGCATCACCATGCATGCTTGTGTGAGTGATTTTTCTAGAGAACAGATTACAGAACTAGCTAACGGAGTTTTAAATAAAGAGTCTTGTAGGTTCCCAATTTTTTGACACACAGTATGTATATTTTTAATTTATCATCATTATAATTGGACGTGTTTCTATCAAACAGAACTATGTGCATTACGACGTGAGCCCTGTTATGCATATATTCTTATGGGTCTCAGGGCTCATTTCTGAATGCACATAGTTCCGTTTGGCAGAAATACGTCCAATTCGGGAAATCTTAGTCCAGTTCTACGTTTTTTTAGGTCTTTCCTCTAGACTTTCCATAACTGAATTTTTTCATCTTTTAGGATGATCTGTCCTTTTCAAAGTGCCAAATCCACGACAAGTGGAAAAATATTTTAGAAATAGAAACGAACAAGGAAGGATTTGAGATGATGATGTAACGGTCGACATTCTGAGGACGAAGTCCTTGAATCTTGTTTTTGAAATTTTAGAGTTTTTTACTTTTTGTTAAAATTACAAGTGTTTGAATAATTCAACTTGAGTTTTCTCATAAGTGTCATTTTTGTCTCATGTGGTCACTCAAAAAAATTACCTAACTGCATAAAGATTGTGGTGGGAAAGTAATGTAATGATTAAAACTCAGAGATTCATGTTATATTGGCGAAGGGAGACTCAGGATAATGACTTAATACAATCTATCAAGCCTGTAGATAATCTGTTTAAAATTAGTTCAGTTAACTGCGTGCTCATTTCTCGTCGATGGTGTCTTTCCAGTTGTGCAATGAAAATGAATTCTCGATATTCTCAAGTGCGGACGTCAGACGGATCTTGACCTGGACACCGCAGCCGGTGAAACAACTCCATACCTACGACGACTATCCAGAAGACGATTTTGATAGTCATTTGGAGTATGTTGGCTACTCAGATGAGGAGTGTAGTGACGATGATTTTGTGCCAGGCCCATCGCATTATACGCCTACATCGTTTGCGCCTTCGGAGGAAGGTTTCAACAATGATATGAAAGCAGAAGTAAGATTTCTTCTTTCTAGTATTAATACAAAGTCACTTGGTTGTAGAAAAACCTACTCGGAATGGAAAATTTGTCTTTAAAAGGAAATTTTTCTAAATTTGCTGTAGTAAATGCATATAGATCAATGTGTGCTTAGCGACATCTCCTTTGTGCAGAACCATAAACTTTTCTCCTGTTTTAAATGATAAATATTTTCAAAAAGAAGAAGGAAATATTGAATTATATGTCAAAATTGACACCTTGCACTGATTTTCAGGTTTTCTAAGGCTCTGACTTTCCATGGAACCCTGATCAAGGATCAAAAGCTTGATGCATTTCAAAAGTAATGGAAAGTTTTTAAATTCCAATCAGAAATTGTGCTAATGTTGCACTGCAGTCTTTGGCGTTTTTTTTAGTTTTCAAACAATTGCCGGATATGAAGTAGGGTCCTCAACCAATGCCTTTAATATGCCAAATTAAATGAAATGATTTAATTGAAATCCATTTGGAACATAAGAAAAAAATATTAATAGCTGGAGTCGATGAAAATTCATTCCCATGACAACATTTCAAAATTTTCTCTTACAAATTTTTTTATAAATTATTTTAATGAGTGAAGGAAATTCGCAATTTTTTTTAAAAGAAAAAAGCTGTCAGTTAGTTTTCTCTAAAAAAATAAAATAAAATCAGAGCTTAGCAATGTTGTAGTTGGAGATTTGTATTCTTCAATTTCAGCCGTAGATATGCAAATCAAAGTGTAGCTTGTTCATTAATGAATGCCTAACCGCAGCATCAATCAAATGCGTTTGCTATTATTTGGAATATCGACCATTACATTTAAAAGAATGCCTATTTTGATCGTAACGTTAATAAATTTCTGATTATGTCAAATTGTCCCAAAAAAAACTAATCAAAATCTTTTCTCGCAATTTTGTGTGATTAATTTAGAAATTGGGGAAGAAAACATTAGGGCTGTGCTAGCCTGGTTTTTTTGGTTCAAGCCGAGTTTGAGCTTTTTAGAACTTTGAAAATAACCCTCGAGACGAGTTCAGTGCGAGTAATTTTAAGTTTTAACACGTGATTTTACCATAAAAAAATGATGGCAAAACTATGAGTGGTAACAGTATGATTAAAATATTTGGAATTTGGACTCTTTGGGCGTTTCTGGCTCAAAAAAAGCTTGAAATACTCAAAAAAACTTCTATCAGTAGCAATCGAGCAGAGTTTGAGCTCTGGCTTGGCCTTAACCTAACTTTCAAGCCAAATCAAGTATTCTATACTTGGCTCGACTCGACTCAAAATTCGAGTACTCGCACAGTCCTTGAAAGTACTCAGATAATTTCAATAGAAACTGTTGCTTTGCTCCCTGCTAAAAAAATAAAACATAAGCAGAGACTACGTCACAGTCTGAGGTACGCATTTTTCAACTTTTTAGCCATTGACATAATTTTCTATTAATGAAACACGGAGAGTTCCAAAAGTCTTGTTTTCTAAATAATATGTACTGTCCAATGTTTCTTCGTTTCCTAATTTGTATGCAAACTCAACACAGGTATATAGATACAAGGTACATAGTTAATGTAATAAGTAACTATGATGTTTTTAAATAAATTTTAATTTTTTGCTCGAAGGAAAAAAGTGAAAAAGCCAACAATCTAAGCACTGATTTTTAAACGATGTTTTATTTTTTATTTGCAGGCTCAGAAAATCCCACCGGAGATTTTGAACAAAATCGACAAATTTTACTGCTGCAAACTCTGTTACAAATTCTACTGGGACGGATCTCACCTGGAGCGTACACTTAATCACTTCTCAAGACTCAAACTCTCCTCTGATATCAGCTAAATAGGATCACCGAACAAGTGACGTCGGATCGACCGTGAAATTTGTTTTAATTGAGCACTCTATCAAATCTGCTCAGAGTTCTTTTATCTGGGATAAGTTATTTTATGCTTTTTATTTTGTTTTTATCTAAGGGTTAGGCAGGTTCTACTTCATTAAACACTTAAAAAATAATAGCTCCAAGATTTTGCCGCTACAAGTTGAGGCGCTAGGTGCGACAAGGGCACTTCTCGGTTGTGGTGTTTCAAAATCTCCATTGCTAATTTATGTCTTTAAATAGAATCTAATGAGTGATTTTCCCATGATTTTTCCCGTCTAAATATTGTAGAATTTTTGAGAATATTCAATAAAAATTTCAATGAGGTGCATGCATTCACTTTCCTCGCCATGACTAGAACATTAGCAGAGATTCTGAAGAGAGCTCTTTTTGCATCTAGCGCAGCAATCATCTGGCTTACCGATGAGGAAGTATTAATTTCTTTGTTTACCAAATTAGAATCGGATTTGTTCATGGCCACTGTGATTTTTTTTACATTTATTTCAATATTTTATTGAATGTCCTGTAATCAGGGACTAGATAAGTTCATGTATTTTTATCGCCAGTAGAGGATCCTTCATCGCACTCGTTCAGAAGTAATACTCTCAATTGTAAATTTTCACTCACTCCAGGTTTCTTGAATGATCGCATTATGGAAATTTTGTTTTCTGGTAGTGAACAAATATCAAGGTAGCTTTAACTTTTGTCGAAATACTGGTTTCTGATTTAATGTTTAATGGAAAAATGCCATCACGCTTGGAAGTACTTATCTATGGTGAAAGTTGATAAATATTGTGTCTCATTTTGCGATATTTCATATTTCGTCCTGTGTTTAAAAAATTTGGAGGAAATTAGTTAAAACATTTTGTATGATTTCTATTCATTTTTTTTTCTCTTACAGAGGATATCCTGTGAAAATTTATGAAAATAATGTTCTTTTGTTTTGTACTTTACTATTAAAAAAAAAAAAAAAATCATCAAACGTTTTTGAAATGTCGCAAACAGGATGCAGGCTTTCTGACTTTTCATCGTCAATGTTCAGGCTGTTCACATATTTTTGAAAATTCTCTCCCAAAAGTACTAATACATTAAAGCCATGAGTATGGAATGCTTCGTTAGATCCCATTGATCCAAGAGTGGATTTTTGTATTTGGATCCCTTTTACTGTTATTGAGATTTTTGGAAAGGAAACTACCAGAAGCAAACCCATTTCGACCACAAACCCATCGGACATTAGGATCTCTAATTGTGGTCAAACTGCCATTTCATTAGTCAATAATTTGGTAAAACTCTGAGTACTGCGCCAAGAAATTGGATGACAGCCTTTGTGTATAATACAAGATATACTTAAACCAAATAAAATGGCAGAATTTTGTCAGAGGAATTCTTTTTTCATTTGATCAGAATCGCTGTAGGTATGTCTTGTAATATTTTTTGCACAAGAAAGTCCTATTTTTATCCTTGACTTTAGCGATTTTCCCTCGTGAAAATGGTTCCATTGATTAAATAATTGTTTCCCTCTTCTGGCAAAAGTACACTTTCCAATTGGACCTATGTGATTTGTGACCGCTACTGGGAAAGAAAATTAAGTGTTCCAAGACATATCATTTAACTTCAGTGAACTTAAGTTGAAGAAGCAGCATGTGTTCCTTTGATAGAAAATTTTTTTATAGCTCGAGTCCCTTTTTTCATAGACCATCACATACCAAAAATGTCAGTTTGACCCCAAAGAGCTGATCATGAATGGAAGCCTCTTGTCACTTGTTTTTCCTCTTGAAATTTTTAAGTAGAAAACAATTCACAAAACAATTTGTTCCAAAATAACCTCTATTATTTATGCGTAACATCAGTCAAATGGCAAAACAGTCATGTTGAAAGCTCATGTTAATATTTCGCTCAGGCGTTCATGTAGAAGTTTGCCATTGTGTGAATCGTTTTCTAGATGAAACCATTTTGAGAAGAAATAATGTGCTTTCATTGATATCTTGTCTAAGGGCCCAGTTGACCCTCCCTCAGTTTTATATCAAAACCAGTATTTTTTCCTTTTTTTTTAAAGTTTCGTTATATCTTGATGCTTGTTTTTATTACTTAAGGATGCACCGTAGGGCTAAAATTGTAAAGTCCTCAAGCCAAGCCATAAATGTTGCATGAGGAATTTTTTTTTTTCATTTGTTACTTACCTCTTTATTATTGATTAATGTTTATCTTAATTTGAAGCCTTTCTTTTTTTAATTTATTTATTTAATTATTCGTTTTAAGATTTGTTCAAACCACTGTGATTATTATATTTTTGGCAAGCATAGTCATCTCAGGGACTTACGTTCCCTGAGTGATAGTATTTTCAGTTTGGCACAGGGGTCATTGAAATTCCCAGAGAGTATTTATATTGTTTTGAGTCCCAGCTTCAGATTTTGTTGAGCTATTTGAACTTTTATAGAGCGTTCTCAATAAAATAAAACTGCCACAGTGGATCTTCAACGTATGTTGAAGCGCTAGGTTCTAACAGAATGAACTTTCCTTTGTGGTTGAAAATAACAACTCTGAATTGCTTTTTTTGATAAGTGCCCAACTCCGAAAATAAAATAAAAAATCCAGATAGAGAAAATGGATTTCGCTGGAAATTTTCGGTGAATGGAAAATGTTTAGCACTTGTTATCAGCTGCGAAGAAGAGCCCTGCAGCCAAAAATATGAAACTTTTTGGTCCTTCAGTGTTGCAAAGTAAGCGCTCTAAATTGTTGGAGTTGAATACTTTTTGAAAACAGAACTTGCTCCGATGTTTTCAGTATAAAATGAAAAAAATGTACCTGGGGGAATGAAAGATATGTGTGGCCCTAAGTACCATTTTTCCTCTGTCAAGCAGAATTTTTATTCTCTCTGAGATGGGCAGTTTTGGATGCAATACATTTGGGTGTATTCAGGACATTTCATCCTTGTAGATTCTTCATATTTTAAAGTTAACTTGGGATATTTTACAGTAAAATTTAATATCATTAGCTAATGGACAGTCTTGAGAGCGCAGATCAATGATGTAACCAGAAAAACATGCTCCCAATTTTGGATTTCTGGCTTCTATTTTAGCTTCCCTTTCATTTTAGTTATCAGTTTAGTTCCATCCTAGGACCTTCAATAAGATGGAGATAGAGTTTTTTTCGTTAAATAATAATAAAAAAACCAACTTGAAGTTTGCATATTATTTCTGATTTGTGTTTAAGTAAATTTCCTGTTATATCAAGCCAAAAAAATTGTAAATGCAAATGAACAGTTTCAATGGAAAATAAATACATCAAAGTGTATCTTGACCCTCGACTTAGTATAAACATAATTTTCTAAATTTGACGGAAGGTTTACCAATAATCTTATCTGATAAGTGACGATTTATATAATAAATCACTAGACAAGGTACAAATTTTACCATTTTGGGTACACCTGTCCTCTTCAAAATTTCATGTAAAACACAATGTTGCGCAACAAAAATAGCTGATACTAACTCAAAACCAAAATAATAACGTTTTTATTTGCATCAGTCACGAAAAATTTGAATTTCCTTCTCACTAGAAAAACGAGATTCTACTTGGATCAAATCGCGCATGACAACGATTTTGGCAATTTTCTCATTTCAGCATTGTTCTTTCCCTACTCTGTATTGTTCGAAGTGTAAATAACTTGTACTAGCAGAGCTTTAGCGTCAAGTTTGAGGTTTTTGTATTTTTATATCGCAGAGACTGTCATGGTAACATTTAGCGTGAAATTTAACTCAAGGAGACCTTTGTTTTTTTAATGAGCGGAAAGTTTGAATTTATGCATAAAAAACCTTAATATCTTGGTTTGGAGTGACTTTCAGTAATTTTCCATGTACATATAGTGTTTTACGTGAAATTTTAATGAAAAAAAAATTTATAGTACTAATGCTTCAATTCTAACCTTGTTTAGTGGTCTATTGGAGTGGAGTATTTAGTACCTATACCAGTTTCTGAAAATCAAAGCACTTTCTGTAATTTGTAATGATGTATTATTCTTTTTCCTCGTTACTAATAAAAATTACATACCTGCGTATAAAGAGTCTTTCTAATTTTTTCAATCTACATTTTCCTACTACTTTTCAGAAAAATATAATCATTGCCTGAATTTGTGTCACTGCACCTTGTATACAATTTTCTTTCCTTCCAAAGTTTTGCGATTTAAGTACCAGAGAAGTTAAAACAATTAAGTACTAGAGAAGCAAAGATCAGGAGGAGGTCATTTCATCTTCGGCAGATATTAAAATTCACTTCCACTGATACTAAGGTCTAAGATCAAAGATCCTAATACTGTAAGATCATAGAACCTTTAGCACCATTAATTTTCACTACCAGTTAAGTACGATTAAGTACCACGAAAGCAAAGATCAGGAGGAGGTCATTTGGACGTATTTATGCGAAAAGGCGCTAAACGCCATTTCCAAACTTCTCAGTACGGCAAGTTTGACTAAAACCATTGGCGTTTCCGTACTAATGGACCGATTTTGGTTTACTTTAGCTTGTTTGAAAGCTGAAGAGTTCCTCTAATTACGTACGTTGCCAAAATTAGGAAAAAATGCATATTAAGCGAGATATAGGGGATTTTTGCACGTAGGTCCATTTGATTTAATGCGCTAACCCGGATTCCGAATTAAATCAAAAGGCGCTATCTCCACTTGAATCACTTGATTGACGCGCGCGCGGCGAAGCTTGGTGGAAACTTGGTGAAATTTGGTACCGGGGGGTATTTTTGGACGGGAAACTCGAATTTCGGGTCAAATTTTGAAAATTCAGAAATCCAAGATGGCGGACATGGCCTAAAATGCTATCTCGGCCCCTGTCCAGCCGATCTTGGTGAAACTTGGTATCAGGGGGTATTTTCGCATGGGAAACTCGAATTTTGGGTCAAATTTTGAAAATTCAGAAATCCAAGATGGCGGACGTGGCCTACAATGCTATCTCGGCCCCTATCCAGCCGATCTTGGTGAAACTTGGTATCAGGGGGTATTTTCGGACGGGAAATTCGAAGTTCGGGTCAAATTTTGAAAATTCAGAAATCCAAGATGGCGGACATGGCCTAAAATGCTATCTCGGCCCCTATCCAGCCGATCTTGGTGAAACTTGGTATCAGGGGGTATTTTCGGACGGGAAACTCGAATTTCGGGTCAAATTTTGAAAATTCAGAAATCCAAGATGGCGGACATGGCCTAAAATGCTATCTCGGCCCCTGTCCAGCCGATCTTGGTGAAACTCGGCATCGGGGAGTATTTTCGGACGGGAAACTCGAATTTCGGGTCAAATTTTGAAAATTCAGAAATCCATCCAATCCTAAATTTCACCAAGTTTCCACCAAGCTTCGCCGCGCGCGCGTCAATCAAGTGATTCAAGTGGAGATAGCGCCTTTTGATTTAATTCGGAATCCGGGTTAGCGCATTAAATCAAAGGGAATTACATATAGTTCCTTTTGATTTTATTCGTAATCGCTGATTCCCTGTTTTGCGATTTTTCAGGGGCTGATTCCAGGGGATGAAATTAGTATTTTGGGGGCATATTTACGTGTGAGAGCAGCCTATTACATGGAGAATCCAGATCCGTTAAAAACTGAAATTTGGAAATTTGGCGCTTAGTTCCCTTTCGTATAAATACGTCCATTTAATCTTCAGTAGGTAGATCTTGAAATTCACTTCCATCGATATGAAGGTCTAAAAGATCTAAAATACTAATACTCTAAGATATAAGAACCTTCTGCATCATTCATTTTCACCTGTTGGAAGAGTGCGTTTTTCGTCGGTAGCGCGGTCCAGCGGACTTGTGGAGCTTTTCCCACCAGAAAATCGGACACAGCGGGTTATTTCCAAGCGGACTAGCTTGGTTTTGGCTCGCGGTCCCGACTCTCGACGAGGCCTCCTGAGCCGAGAAAGGGTCAAAAACGAGTGTTTCTGACCACTTTTTGAGTGTTTCTCGGCAGCGTTTTCCGCGGATAACTCGATTTTGACGCTAATAATTTAGTCCATGTAACCCCTGTCGATTTTTCTCGATTTTGGACTGAGAAAAAAAATTCCGAGATTTCAGTCGCATCCTACGTAGTTGAAGGCGAAGAATCGATTCCGCACGGTCCCGACACTCGGCGAGGCTCCCTGAGCTAAGAAAGAGTCAAAAATTGGTCCAAAACTAGCTTTTCTGACCACTTTTTGTCTCTTTCTTCGGAGCGTTTTGAGCGGATAACTCGTAGCGAGGGACTCGAGGAGCTTTCCCGACTGGAAAATCGCACTCAGCGGGTCAATTCCAAGCGAGCTTACTTGGTTCCGACCCGATCGGCGAACTATCGATTTTGACGCTAATAATTTAGTCCATGTAACCCCTGTCGATTTTTCTCGATTTGGGACTAAGAAAAAAATTTCAAGATTTCAGTCGCATCCTACGTAGTTGAAGGCGAAGAATCGATTCCGCACGGTCCCGACACTCGGCGAGGCTTCCTGAGTTGAGAAACAGTCAAAAGCTGGTCAAAAAGGAGCTTTTCTGACCACTTTTTGCCTGTTTCTCTGGAGCGTTTTCCGCGGATAGCTCGAAGCAACGGACTCGCGGAGCTTTTCCGACTGGAAAATCGCACTCAGCGGGTCAATTCCAAGCGAGCTTACTTGGTTCCGACCCGATCGGCGAACTACCGATTTTGACCATAAAAATGTAGTCCATGTAACCACTGTCGATTTTTCTCGATTTTGGACTGAGAAAAAAATTTCGAGATTTCAGTCGCATCTTACGTAGTTGGAGGCGTAGAATCGATTCCACACGGTCGCGACTCTCGGCGAGGCTTCCTGAGCCGAGAAACAGTCAGAAACTGGTAAAAAAGGAGCTTTTCTGACCACTTTTTGCCTCTTTCTATGGAGCGTGCAGACGCAGCTGAAGGCGAATTGCTCTCGCACATAAAACGCCTTCAGAGATTCGTGTACGGTTCACGTTTTTATTTTTTGTTCGAATCAAGTCGATCGAATACATGCCCTCTCTTTACACGCACACTTCCTTTCATACTCTTTTTTTTAACCGAAAAATTCGCCTTCTGCTGCGTCTGCGGCAATTGTTGTTACGAGTATGCGGTGCGTGCTGGTTTCAGGTAGTTACATACTCGACTCTTTGAAGGCGTTTTGTTTGCGGGAGCAATTCGCCAGTTCTCCAACAGGGTACGCTACTTGCGCACATAAAACGCCTTCAGAGAGTCGAGTATGTAATGACCTGAAACCAGCACGCACAACATATTCGTAACAACAATTGCTGCAGACGCAGCTGAAGGCGAATTGATCTCGCACATAAAACGCCTTCAGAGATTCGTGTAAGTAATTAATGACCTGAAACCAGCACGCACAACATATCGACGGTGAAACTACCAAACCACGTATCTCGGTTTGCGACGTCGCAGACTTCCCCTCATACTTTATTTTTTAAATGAAAAACTACTTATCCAGTCTTGCCAGTCTTGAAAATTTTTGTGATTTTTCCTCATCGTGCGGAGAAAATTCTGTGAAAATATCAAGGAATGATATTGATTTGGTCTACTTCAAAAAAAAATAAAATGCGAGCGTAGATTTTTAAACACCGCAAACGAGATACGTTGTTTGGTAGTTTCACCGTCGATATTCGTAACAACAATTGCCGCAGACGCAGCTGAAGACGAATTTTTCAGTTTAAAAAAAAAGGGTCAATTCCAAGCGAGCTTACTTGGTTCCGACCCGATCGGCGAACTTTCGATTTTGACGCTAATAATTTAGTCCATGTAACCCCTGTCGATTTTTCTCTATTTGGGACTGAGAAAAAATGTCAAGATTTCAGTCGCATCCTATGTAGTCAGTGGCGTAGAATCGATTCCGCACGCTCCCGACACTCGGCGAGGCTTCCTGAGTCGAGAAACAGTCATAAGCTGGTCAAAAAGGAGCTTTTCTGACCACTTTTTGCCTGTTTCTCTGGAGCGTTTTCAGCGGATAGCTCAAAGCGAGTGACTGGCGGAGCTTTTCCGACTCGAAAATCGAACTCAGCGGGTCAATTCCAAGCGAGCTCAGATCCAAAGGTGTCAACGTCACGAGATAATTGATAGGCTTGGAGGACAAGGCGCACATGGCGCACAAGTGCAGTTTCTGCTATTTCGAGAAATACGTGTTTGAAGTTTCGAAATTATACATGGATTCTTATGGCGGAATAAAAGTTCAAACTGACATTTTGACTCTTAAAAATTGGCATGCAGGAGCGAATTTTTCACAGAATATGCATCAAGACTAGTTTTACTTGAAATTAAAACCATCTCAATTTTTTTAAGAACTGCTTGTATGCGCCTTTTTATCTCTGAATTATTTATCAGTGTATACCTAAGTAGCATGGAGCCAGCAATCGCCGGCAATTTGCAAGCTCCGTACTTGTCAATTCGTCAAATTGTAATTACGATAACATCGATATAGTAAAGATTTCTTTACGCCTTCAAATCAAGCGACACTCGCCGCTTTGCCAAGGAGTTAGTTTAGTTGCTTAACCGAACCTAACACAGATTATTGATGGCATTTCACGAGCTCGCGAGTGTGCTAGCGGGCACCATGTATCCAAGAAGAAGGGGCTAACGTATGTTTGAATTCAAAGCATAATAATCCCTACTTCCAATCTCGTTTTTTCACTTTAAAACGATTAAATTAGTTGATTAAACACGAATAGATTGCAATTTGCCGGCGATTGCTAATTGCCTGCAACATAGATACCTGAGAATTTTTGTGAAGAAATGAATGAGAAAAAAAAATTACTGACTGAACAATCATAATCACTGCCTGTGGAAATGTTAATTAAACAATACTAAAGCACTTTATAGATGGTGAAAGTGCAGAAGTGCGAATCTCGGAAAACACGATTTTCCAGGAGAGTAAAAAACTGTCTGCATTCCTCTTTATTGTCGGCAGAAGGGATTAACCTTCTACTCTTCTTATTAATAATTCATGAGGATGTCAATAATAAGATGTTTTTTCAAACTCCATCAGCAGTTTCAATAATTTCTCGAACTGTTAGAAAATACGGCAGAAATGCCGAGATC